AAAAAAAAAAAAAGGAAAAGGAAAAAAAAAGCGCTTGGCATTCACCAGTGTTTCAATGTGGCAAAGTTGCTTCAGGTAATCTCTATAACTTTGTGCAAAAGTTCATTGCCATGTTTGTACTGACTTGCTGAAATTTTTTTCTTCTGGAAAATAGCCCCCGTGGTATCCTCTGTAAAAGTTATGGCTTCTACAACTGTATTACTGTAGAAATCTCTGCCTGAAGTGGATGTCACGCTGCGTGTTCCTCTTACGTGGGAGTTGTTTGCATTACCTGTTGTTCATATGGTTCTTCTTTCTGTATCTAATTTTTTTTTAATCAGTTGTGCATAACTTTTACAATAAAAACAAGAAAACAGCCCATGGATTAGAAATCTTCTAAAAATAAATTCACACTTAGCAGCAGCTGGATATATGTCAGTGGTACAGGAATTTGCAAAGTCTTTGCTTTTTTCACTGTGGGATTTATGGCTAGATTTTACATAACAGAATTATGCTCGAAGTCTTTGCAAAAGAAAATGTATGTAAATGTCTATTTTATATAAAAAGTAAGAAAAGTAAGTGCCGTGTCTGGTTTTGTTCTCTTGGCTATGGGGTCAGTCTTTTCCTTAGGACCAACCATGAATAAGTTCTTCTGGAGGTGGAAGGGCCAAAGTTTGTACTCGACTTAACATTTTACTGCCCAAGGAGTCACAGTGATTGCTCACATAGGAGCAACTGCAGCATATGTATTTGAGTCTGGCCATATAAAAATATTGGAGCAGGCATTTTTTGGAGCCTGAGCATGAGAATGGATGAGGGCTGGTGCTTACGTGGTCGTGATGACTGGACATGTTATACTGACATAAGCTTTTATGTCATGCTTTATACATCTGTCAGGAATGTGTCAAAGAGACTTAAACCTACAGAATGCAAAGAGAAAAATAGAACAGAAAGGAAAGGAAAAAGAAACTAATTTTGTTCTAATTCCCTTCTTCCTGGCCGATGTTCCCAGATGCTCCTGCCTGCTCCCAGGGCTTGGGTTCACGCAGGGGTTCGTGATGGTGATAAAATATCTTCACTGAAAATGGACCTAAAAGAGGGTCGAAAGCCCTGAACACAAGCCATAATGGTTTTTGCCATCTTGGCGTGTGCAAAACCCTCTGTAGCATGTAAGGGAGTTGCACGCTCACTTTGAAGTCAGCCTGTACATCCTGAAGTTCTCCTGGATCTCGACAGTGCAGGGTTTCTTAATGGAGCTTGCTCTTGCAGTATGTGGATAGCAGCTCTCTCCATACAAAAGGTCAAATCATTTTCATCCTTACGGCAGCTACTTGAGGGCCTCTAAGCCCCATGTATCGCTTCACAGGCAAGAAGCTGCTGGAGGTTTCAGACAGCTCTCTTGGCATCCTCTGGGAAGGAAGAAGCAGCACACCACCATGTCTTATAAAGGCGCTGGCTTGGGTGAGGAGAGACTGCACGGTGAGGACCTCAGCTGGACTTGCCTTGTGCTAACCCTCCTCTGCAAAAGCAATGAGATTTGTTTCAAACTGCAAGGGCTGAGGTAGCTCAGGGCTGGTCCCAATGGTGAGGGGGGATGTTAGATCCTGCCACTCCCCATGGGGAGCGGGCAGCAAACTACAAACAGGAGAGCCCAGGGAGCTTGTGACCCCCAGTGGGACATGGCTGGGGAGCCTCCAAACCCACCTGAGTTACAGCCATGCAGCCTCACCTGCCAAAACTAATTGGCCCCTCATCTATTAAAGGGCTCATTTGCTAGGAGGAGGAGGGTTGTTCCTCCTGTGTGCAGCAGAGCATAGCCTGGGATCCAGCACTGGGTGCTCTCCCCAGGCCATGGCGGGAGCAGGGCTCCTCTTGCTGCTGGTGTCCCTTCTTGCTCCATGTGGTGAGTCCTGTGCGTGGGCTGTGGCGAGACGCCCGCCAGCATGGGGGCTACAGCAGCAAGCACTGGTGTTATCTGCTCTTTTAAGGTACCAAACAAGTGAACGTAACCAGTCAGTTTTCACAAATCATGCCAGGGCTTGGCGTGCTTGCCCCTGGTGAGTGATTTTGGGCTGCCCTTGCTGCAGCTCTGCTGAGACTAGAAGCCTTTCTTATCCTCGCAATCTAGGTGCTGCTCACCACAGCCTTTTCCTTGGCTGCTGTGGCAAGTGAGCCGTTCCCCATGCAGGCTGCTCAGCTGTGGTGTGGTCCCTTGGCTGTGCAAGAAAGAGAAATATCTTGGTCCCACTGAGCTTGCTAACTGTTCACCCTGGGGCACTTGGGTCAGAAAAGTGTCTAGGAAAGCAATGACTGGCAGCACATTCTGAAATCCTTCTTGCACATCTTCCTGCAGTGGCTAATGTATTTACAACTCGCTGTCTTGCATGCTCCCACATCCATGTAAAAATTTCTTGGGCAGAAAAATGGTGATCTTCAGAGTGACTTGCTCCTGGTAATGAAGCTAGTGCTGAAAAGATCTGCCCAGCTGGGCCAAGAGATGGGATAACCAGCTAATTGCCATCCCTCCCACACTGCTCCAATATGATTCTGGTCCTTCTGCTGTTGCTAATGTTATTTCTCTCCCCACCTAAGGGAATGATGTTTTCTCCCTCATTTACCTCCTTGATAAAGTCTATTTATTTTCTACTTCACTAGCAGTCTTGCTGCTATAGCAATAATCACCACAGTCTCCTGTTGGAAAAGATAGTCAGCAGCAAGGGCTAGGGACAGCTTGGTCCAGGTCAATGGCTCAGAAAATTGTGCCTGATTTTGTGACTGAGCATTCTGCAGTAGGCAGACGCTTTGAGGCCAGAGAGTGCCCTGGGAATATGATAAAGTGCTATTAAAAAGGGGAGAGAGAGAGAAAGAGAGAGGCTGGGCTGAATGGAGCAGCAATGAGCTCAGCTCCTCTGTGGCGCAGGAGTTGTGCAAGGATCCCCACAACCTTGTGGGGTGAGTCCCACTTGTTACTGCTGAGGTCTTGGAGTGGCTGTCTGCCTGGGTAGAGGAGAAAGATGTGGGGTCCTCAGCTCGCTAATACTGAGAGATTGGTGGGCCTTCTAATGCCTGTCAGCCCAATGGGAAGGTGAAGCAAGTAGCATTGCCTTCAAGTCTACACAGAGGACATAAGACCCAAAGTTAAAGAGAGGGTTGGAGGGGTGGTGTTGTGATAGTTGGTAAGATTCTGGATCTAGACTCAGTCTTCTGGTGACCCTAGTGAATTATTCCAGGCTCTCACCAGGGAAAACATGGTGCAAGTACCTCCTAAATCATGAGCATTATATTGCTTATGGTTGCTTGGCTGGGAACTGGACTCTTATCACAGCCTTGGCTTGGGAGAGGCAGAGGACCCCTCCTATTGGCATAAGAAGCGCGTTGGACAGAGGTGATTAACAGAGTGATTTTTAGCTGGTGCAGGCATGTGGATAGCTGAAGGGAGTGGAGGAAGAGCTGCTGTCGTCTTCTTGGCAAAGGAGCCAGAGGCCTGATGCTACTCCCTCCCACAACTACCCAGCCTGTAGAAGCAGGCCTGTGGTATGAGAAGTTGCAGTCGGTTCCTTTTCTTTGTGTCCCAAGTATTTGAGATCACTCCTCCTGTGTGATCTTTACTGTGATGATCATGTTCTGGAGGTGACCCAAGGGAGCAGCACACACCTTCCTCCTCCACCCAGCATGGGGTCCAGCAGGCCTGTCAGTGTGTGCGTCACTCCATGCTGGGTGAGGACTGGTGGGGTTTTCCCTAGAAAACATAAATGAGGCTGCCATTAATTTATCTCAAACTGCACAGTTCAATGAAGCATCATCTAAAACTTAATCAGACCCAACCATCACTAAGTCAAACTTTCTCCGTGCTCATTGTCCGTATTTCTAAGGCAAAATCTGTGCCAAAAGCGATGTGTTTCAGACCAAACCCAAGACTGCATGCTGGGCCTGCTCATTTCAGAGACAAGATCTTTCATGATGACTTAGCTTGCTCAGGTTAAGTGCCACAGGGCACTTAGATAGGGAAGCTGTGAAATAATAAATTTTGGATCAAGTCAGGTGGCATCATTATGACCTGTTGCACTTGTTACTTAATTTTTTAAGTCCCAGTTGCGTTTAATTGAGAATAATTAGGCTACTGGATGAAATCTAAATTTGCTTTTTTTATGTCTGTGCACACACATCAGGAAAATTTCTCACAGGAGACCTCAGCTTTGCATACATCAGCTTCTTATCACAAAATTCAATTTCCATGTGTTTTCATTTATCTCTGTATAATTGCCTTCAGCTTGGAGTTCAGGCTGGAGTCAGGAAAGCTGGGACACCTGGGATTTGTCCCATTAATTCCCTACCTACCAGAAGAGACTGAGCTGATGCATTTGAGCATGTGGGAGAATGTCCCACTGCAAAACACTGTTGTTTCTGTCTTCTATGTAGGCCTGAAATGTGGAGTTTGTCCTATTGACCTGAAAAGCCCAGTGGATGCTCTACAGCTGGGATTCTTCTCTTGAATCTGTTGGGAGACAGTCGGTGCCTGGAGGGCAGCCCTGGCAGGTCTGTGTTGCAGTGCACTGCTTTCCTCCTAGGGAGAGGCAGCAGCAAAATCACTCTTTCATCCTCAAGTCATTGAATACACTCAGTCTAAGTGTCCCTCTTGCCCAGCTTCCCAGGCTGACCCCTTCCTGCCAAAGTGGGAGGGAATGAGTTGATCAAATAGTTAAGATCTCTGGCTAGTGTGAGCTAATGCAGCTGCAGAGCTTGTGTGGCATGCACCAGCTGAGGATTTCCTTGGGTTTATGGTACAGAAAGAGGTTGCAGAGGTGAGAAGGGAGGATGCCTCCCTGGTCTCCCACTGCAGAGGAAAGTTACCTTGCCTAACGGCTTGCATTCAAATAAGGAAAAGCACCAAGCAATGATTGTGGGACAATGCCTTACAAGTAACCGAGCAGGGCATGGCTTTATATGAAGTACTACTTGTTTGCATGTTGCCAGAGCAAACACGGGCACCTGTGGCAAAACTGTATTAGCCACCTCCCACCCCTGAAAACCCAATCCCTGCACATGCAGCAGCTTGAAAGTGTATGGAGGTAGTAGC